TGGTTGTTTCCCAGTAAATTTTTCTGGATGCAGTGTTGTGCTGACGCTGCCTGGCCAGGTCAAGATGGAGGCTTCACGCCAAAATCAATAACTCGCGTCTTCTGCCAGCCAAAATGGCGGCCACTTGGAAGAATTGCAGTTCAGCGTCTTTGTTAAAGCCGCAGCCACTAGTCCGTTTCTTGGTATTTTTTCCCCTTTTTTTCCGCTTATTTTATTTACCAATAGATTGTTATTTTCATTAAATATCATATGCTTTGTTGGGTGAGTTTTCTCTCCAAATTGGTTTCTGAGGAAAAACCTGTCATGATGCTATCTATAAATGTTGCTATGACAACTGTTTTTTATATGGCCACTTTTGCTTCCTCCATTGTTAATATTAATATTATTACTGATGATAATCAGGATGAATAAGAGCACGAGAAAATATAGACCAAAGTTTTAGAGAAACATTACAGAGAATAACAAAGAAAATACAAATAAAAAAAAGTTTGAGGGTTAGATCATTGAGAGAAGTTTGCTACGAAATAGTGAGTGTAGAGCATCATAATAGTGAGTGTAGAGCATCATAATAGTGAGTGTAGAGCATCATAATAGTGAGTGTAGAGCATCATAATAGTGAGTGTAGAGCATCATAATAGTGAGTGTAGAGCATCATAATAGTGAGTGTAGAGCATTATAATAGTGAGTGTAGAGCATCATAATAGTGAGTGTAGAGCATCATAATAGTGAGTGTAGAGCATCATAATAGTGAGTGTAGAGCATTATAATAGTGAGTGTAGAGCATCATAATAGTGAGTGTAGAGCATCATAATAGTGAGTGTAGAGCATTCATAATAGTGAGTGTAAGCATCATAATAGTGGTGTAGAGCATCATAATAGTGAGTGTAGAGCATCATAATAGTGAGTGTAGAGCATCATAATAGTGAGTGTAGAGCATCATAATAGTGAGTGTAGAGCATCATAATAGTGAGTGTAGAGCATCATAATAGTGAGTGTAGAGCATCATAATAGTGAGTGTTAGAGCATCATAATAGTGAGTGTAGAGCATATAATAGTGAGTGTAGAGCATTATAATAGTGAGTGTAGAGCATTATAATAGTGGTGTAGACATCTATAATAGTGAGTGAGAGCATCATAATAGTGAGTGTAGAGCATCATAATAGTGAGTGTAGAGCATCATAATAGTGAGTGTAGAGCATCATAATAGTGAGTGTAGAGCATCTATAATAGTGAGTGTATGAGCATATAATAGTGAGTGTAGAGCATATAATAGTGAGTGTAGAGCATATAATAGTGAGTGTAGAGCATCATAATAGTGAGTGTAGAGCATCATAATAGTGAGTGTAGAGCATCATAATAGTGAGTGATAGAGCATCATAATAGTGAGTGTTAGAGCATCATAATAGTGAGTGTAGAGCATCATAATAGTGAGTGTAGAGCATCATAATAGTGAGTGTAGAGCATCATAATAGTGGAGTGTAGAGCATCATAATAGTGAGTGTAGAGCATCATAATAGTGAGTGTAGAGCATTCATAATAGTGAGTGTAGAGCATCATAATAGTGAGTGTAGAGCATCATAATAGTGGGTGTAGAGCATCATAATAGTGAGTGTAGAGCATCATAATAGTGAGTGTAGAGCATCATAATAGTGAGTGTAGAGCATCATAATAGTGAGTGTAGAGCATCATAATAGTGAGTGTAGAGCATTATAATAGTGAGTGTAGAGCATTATAATAGTGAGTGTAGAGCATTATAATAGTGAGTGTAGAGCATTATAATAGAGTTTCATTATACGAAACACATGTTCATGGTGATAAAGATGGAAATAAAAGAGTAGAGAGGATGGTGGCCAGAAGTGGTTTAGGTTATGTAAGTTGATGTAGCAACTTTAAGAGAGAACAAATAATGAGTGATGGGAGTGAAGCACACACTACGTCACTTGATCGTACAACGTAGCAGAGTACAGTATTACGGAGTTAATACCACAAATGTATGTACCCAGTGAAAGCAAACTGTATCCAAGGCTGGAAACATGTTACAAAATATGCAGGATTGTCTGCAATTACTTAACAGTTACAGTATTTTTTAAATCATACCCAGAGATAAGGATACTGCAATTGTAAAGATTGTGATATATGATTATAAGGTTACTGTGATTGTAAACGTACTGTTGCCTCTATATTGAAACAGCCATTGATAGAGTTGATATCGCTATCAGCATATCAGCTATTTGGGTTGCAATGTGGTGTGTTTATAATGGTATCTTCCCTCACTGCATCAGTGCCACTAACTAGTCAGCTCACCGCTCAGGGCAACATCCCATTAAGAGGCACCTAAGTTCCCCCGTCTTCTAATAACATGTTCATGTTTCCACCTTGTCTATAATTACTATCACATTTGCTTTGTCTGTTTCGTAAGGTGAAGTCCAGGATCTTTCCTTAATTCATGGAATAACTTAACAAATCTTTGAGGACAATTGTCCTATACAGGTCTGAGCTGTGCTCAGACCTGTGCCGAATAGATAAAATTTGAGATTTTGGCTTAAATAGCAACGCTGTTCTTGCCGAATAAGGCAAGCGAAAATTTGTGTATGTAATAGTTTCGCAAAAAATATTCTGAACCTAACGAGAAAAATATATGTCATTGTGATTATTTATTATTAAATTATTGTGAACTTATCTAAAATATATTTAGTTGGATTAGGCTAAATTAAATTGCGCTTTTTATAAAAAGGTTAGGTAAGTTTTCTAAGGTTCTTTTGGTACAAAATTATTAATTTTTACATTACTATAAATGAAAAAAATATATTATAAAAGTATAAGAGAAATTTTTAGAAAGGACTTAATTTCAAATGAGTTCTTGCTAATTGATCAGTTTTACCTATCTGACACGACATATATATAAATATATTATATATATATATATATAATATATATATATTTATATATATATATATATATATATATATATATATATATATATATATATATATATATATATATATATATATATATATATATATATATATATATATATATATATATATACATACAGTGAGAAATGTGTATATCTCTCTGCATATACAATGGGAGGCGGACATATGTCTTTGTGTCTACACTAAGAAATAGTTGAAATAAGATAACAAGAAACTAGTAATAACTGAACAGGAAAATTTGCCAAAGTGGTGGAGGTTAATTTTTGTGATGTTTTACGTCCTTGAGAAAATCTTTGAGAAATGTTAAATTTCGTAATGTCTTATGTCTTTAAAATACTGACTGAGAGATGATGCAATGTAATTATCCTTCACTGTAGTTAATTTATACTCTCTAAAATGTGTATTTCAGTGTATTTACACTGAGAGGTGTTTCTGTGCATATAGACAGAGGTTTGTATGTACACTACGAAGTGTGTATCATTCAGTGAATGTACACTGAGATCTGTGTATTTTTCAGGGAACGTACAGTGACAGGTATGTAGCTTTCACTGAATATACACTGACAGGCGTATATCAATTCAAATACACTGATAGGTATGCACATCTGAGTGCATATACACTGAGGTGTGAATCTCTCAGTGTGTATACACTGAGAGGTGGGTATATCTCATTACAAATACATTGAGAGATCTGTATCTATCAGTGCATGTATATACACTGAGAGGTACATATCTCTCAATGCATATACACTGAGAGGTACATATCTCTCAATGCATATACACTGAGAGGTACATATCTCTCAATACATATACACTGAGAGGTGTGTATCTTTCAGTGTATATACACTGTGTTATTTGTGATAAAACCCGTAGCTTGCGTCACTATTATGGGCTATTGTAAGGCTGAATATGCTTTTAAATAAACGTAAGCATTCCTATGTCGTTAACACCTAACTACATCAGATTATAATTTTTTTTTTTTTGCACCTAAGCAAGAACAAGATGTGTTCTGGGGTAAACATAATGCTTTGAGTAAAAATATAAATAAAAAGTCATTATTCGGTATATGGGTTTTCACTATACATGTATTTTTAACGATGAACACAGTTGCTTAAGAATAAATATTTTCTAGAAGGTAATGTATTAAGAAGAGCAGACTCCACCCATTAGAATTTAACACACACACAAATCCAGCAACTAAATCTTTTTAGTGTGTGGGGGGAACCAAAAATTAGGGTTTCCCGGTAGCAGCGCCCCAGGAAATAATTTATTTTGAGGTGTAATTGGAAACCCATTTTTTCATATTCCCCCGGATATCGTATTTTGAGTTTGATATATGGTTTTGAAACTATTAAAATCTTTTTAAATTTCCCTTTTTCGGTATAAATTCCTTTCATTCTCATTAAAGGGTTTTTTAAATCACTTTACGTGCTGTCCATTTTTCCAAATTTCCCTTTTACAAAATAGAAAAATATAATTTTTTTTAAAAAAAAATAATAATAAAAAAAATAAAAAAATAATAATAAAATAAAAATAATAAAATAATAATTCCTTTATTTTTTCCTCCTTGTACTCTTCTTTTCTTCTTCTTTTTTCTTCTTCTTCTTCTTCTTCTTTTTTTTCTTCTTTTTTTCTTTTCTTTTTTTATTTTATTATTTTTATTATTATATTATTTATATTATTATTTTTTATTATTATTTTTATTTTTTATTATTATTTTATTTTTTTATTATTTTTATTAATTTTTATTATTATTATATTTTATTATTTATTATTTTAATTATTTTATTTTTTTAAACATTATTATCATCTCATATCTACCAATCATTCAAACAAAGTATACTGGGGGAATATCCCCCAAGCGCTCTGTGTATATACGCTGAGAGTTTTACATTATTCTTTTTAAAAATTTTAAAAGTTTTGCTGCCCTGTGGTGAACAGGTGATATGTAGATTAATGACCCCGTTTCAATGGGTTTTTTGAAATTAACGAATCGCAAAAACCTAACTTGACTGTTGACCCTTCCCGGCCCCTCTTGTAACCCCAGGGGGGAAAAGGGGAGGAGGAATACACCCAAGGGGGGTCCCTTATCGGGTTCAACGACACGCAGCCAAATATCGGGGAGAGGAAAGTATGCTCGGTGAGTATGTTTCACCCCCCTGATCATGCATCACCACCTATCATTCACCACCACCTGGTCTTCCTCCACCTATCGGGTCATCCTTTTACCTTTTAGCCTAGACCTGCTCACTGTTGGGCCTCCCCAACCTTTAATCTTCTCACCTTTGACCGGCTCCATTTTTGGCCCAATCATCGTTGACCGCCCTTCTGTTGACCTATCCAACTGTCGTCCACTACGTCCTTTCAGCATATATTTACCTACTTATCTTGATGCACAAATAATAGTATACGGGCACAAATATTAGTATACAGTGAAAAAATAACCCGGACATAGGAAAAAGAAACTTATGACGACACGTTTCGGTCCACTTTGATATTAACTATCACACTGTTTGGGGCTAGTTAATGGAGAGGGCAGAGTGAAACGTCATGTAAAAATCTTCTCTCCTGTGTGCGGGTTTTTTTGGTATTGTTCCAGTCACGGTGCTGTACATGTTTTATTTTGTCTTCCTGATTATTCCACAGCACAAATACAAGTCCTACTACCTCCCCGAGTTAAACAAGTCCTAGTACCCCCCCCGAAGTATAATCAAATCCTCACTACCTCCCGGTAGTATAATACAATCTTGACACCTCCCCCGTATATAAACCAAATCCCGGCTACCTCCCCCGACATAAAACAAGTCCTGACTACCCCCCCGGAGCAAATACAAGTCCTGACTACCTCCCCAGTATATAATACAATCCAGCCCTCCCCAGAAGTAAATACAATCCTGACTACCCCCCCAATGTATAATAAAGTCCTGCTACTTCCCCAGCAGTAAATAAAGTCTTGACTACCCCCCCAGTAAAATAAATAAAATCCCGGACCTCCCCAGAGTATAATACAAATCCTGGCTACCTCCCATAGTATAATACAAACCCGACTACCCCCCAGTAATAAATACAAGTCTTGGCTCCCTCCCCCTAGTATAATAAAAAAGTCCTGGCACCTCCCCAGCAGTATAACCAAGCCTGCGCCCCCCCATAGTAAAAAAAGTCATGGCTACCTCCCCAGTAGTGTTTTAAATTCCTGGCTACCTCCCCCCTATAATACAAGTCCCCCGCTACCCGACCAGTAGTAAAAAACAAGTCCTGGGTACCTCCCCTGATATAATCAAATCCTGATACCCCTCACCCGATAAACAAGTCTTTACACCTTTCCCCTAGTATAATACAAGTCCTGACTACCTCCCCAGTAGCATAATACAAGTCCTGACTACCTCCCAGTTGTATAATACAAGTCCTGGCTACCTCCACACCAGTATAATACACGTCCTGACTACCTCCCAAGTATTATAATACAGTCCGCTACCCCCCCAGCAGTATAATACAAGTCCCGACTACCCCCCCCAGCTTATAAAGCAAGTCCTGCAACCCCCCCACATATTACAAGTCTGGTACCCCCAAAGTAGTATAATACAAATCCTGACTACCTTGCCAGCAGTATAATACAAGTCCTAGCTACCTCCCCATCAGTATAATACAAGTCCTGGCTACCTTCCCAGTAGCATAATACAAGTCCTTGCTACCTCCCCAGATAAATAAATCCGCCTACCCCCCAGTAGTAAATACAAGTCCTGACACCTCACCAGTTATATAATACAAGTTGGCATATCCCCAGCAGTATAAACAAGTCCTGGCTCCTTTCCCCGAGCATAATAATGTCCTTGCTACCTCCCCCCTAGTTATCAAGTCCTGACTACCTCCCCCGTGTAAAACATGCCCTGATACCTCCCCCGTATTTTAATAAAGCCGGCTCCTCCCCAAACAGTATAATACAAGTCCTCACTACCTCCCAAAGTATTAACAACCATGACTACCTCCCCAGTAGTATAATACAAGTCCCCGGGTACCCCCAGTAGAATAATACAAGCCTGGTACCTTCCCACCCATAATACAAGTCCTGACTACCCCCCATAGTAAATACAAGTCCTGGCTCCCTCCCCATAGTATAAACAAGTCCTACTACCTCCCCAAGTATAAAACCCAACCCGGTACCCCCCAAAAAGCATAAAACAAATCCTGAATACCTCCCCAGTAGTAAAACCAAGTCCTGGCTACCTCCCCCAAAAGCATAAACAAGTCCTGACACCTCCCCCCGTATAAAACACAAATCCCGGCACCCTCCCCGTGAAAATACAAGTCCTGATACCCCTCCCGCTAAAAAGCCGGTACCTCCCCTAGTATAATACAAGTCCCGGATACCTCCCCGTATAAATACAAACCTGGCTACCTTCCCAGTAAAAAACAAATTAGGTCTCTCCCCAGTAGTAATTTCACGTCCGGCTACCTCCCAGCAGTATAATACAAGCCCCGGCTACCTCCCCCGTGTAAATACAATCCTGGGTAACTCCCCAGTTATAAAATAAAATCCTGGCTACCTCCCCAGCAGTATAAAAAAAGTCCCCGCTACCTCCCCAGCAGTATAATACAATCCTGACTACCTCCCCATAGTAAATACAAATTCTACTGCCTCCCCCGTAGAAAAAACAATCCTTAATACCCCCCCAGCAGTTTAAACAATCCTGTACCCCCCGTAGTATAATACAAGTTTTGGCTCCCCCCCCCATAGTATAAACACGTCCTGGCACCCCCCCAGTATAATACAAGCCCGGCACCTCCCCATTGTATAATACAAGTCCCCGGCTACCTCCCCCGCAGTATAATACAAGTCCTGACTACTACCCGTGTATATACAAGTCCGACTACCCCCCCAGTAGTATAATACAAGTCTTGGCTACCTCCTCAGTTGTATAATACAAGTCCTGACTACCTCCCCCCCAGCAGTATAATACAAGTCCTAGCTCTTTCCCCGAATTTTAATAAATCCGACTACCCCCCGTATATAATACAAGTCCTGGCTACATCCCCAGTAGTATAATACAAGTCCTGGCTACCTCCCCAGTAGTATAATACAAGTCCTGGCTACCTCCCCAGCAGTATAATACAAGTTCTGACTACCTCCCCAGTATAATAAATCCCGCTACCTCCCCATATAAAAACAAGTCCTGGGGGGGTAAACCCCCCCAGTATATTTAAACAAGTCCTGGGGTACCCCCAGTAGTAAAAATACAATTTGGCTACCTCCCCAGCAGTATAATACAAGTCTTGACTACCTTCCCGGTAGTATAATACAAGTCCTGACTACCTCCCCAGTAGTATAATACAAGTCCTGACTACCTCCCCAGTTGTATAATACAAGTCCTGGCTACCTCCACAGCAGTATAATACACGTCCTGACTACCTCCCCAGTATTTACAAACCCCCCCCACAGTATAATACAAGTCCTGACTACCTCCCCAGCAGTATAATGCAAGTCCTGACTACCTCCCCAGTAGTATAATACAAGTCCTGGCTACCTCCAAAGTAGTATAATACAAGTCCTGACTACCTCCCCAGCAGTATAATACAAGTCCTCGCTACCTCCTCACAGTATAAATACAAGTCCTGGGCTACCTTCCCCCATGCTAATAAAGCCTTTTTACCCCCCAGTAGTTAATCGTTCCTACCCCCAAGTTAAAAAGCCCCGCTACCTCCCCGGATTTTAAAAATATAATACAATCTGGCTATATCCCCGCAGTATAAACAACTCCTGACTCCCCCCCCATTTGTATAATCATCCCTGACTAACCTCCCCAGTAGAAATACAAGTCCTGGGGGCTACCCCCCAGCTATAATCAAGTCCTCACTACCCCCCAGTAGTATTATACAACCTTGACTACCTCCCCAGTAGTTAATACAATCCTGGTACCACCCCAGTAGAATAATTTCAACCTGGTACCTTTTTCCCCGCCCTATAAAAACAAGTCCTGATACCCCCCCAGTAAAAATTAATAAAGTCCCGACTCCCCCCAGTAGTAAATACAAGTCCTACTACCCCCCCCAGTTATATAAACAAGTCCGGCTAATCCCCAGCAGTATAATAAACTCCTGACTACCTCCCCCTAGTATAAAAACAGCCCTGACTACCCCCCCAGTGATAATACAATCCGGCTACCTCCCCCGCAGTAAAACAAATCCTCCCCACCCCCCCAGTAGTAATTTACAAGCCCCACTCCTCCCCAGTAGTATAATAAAGTCCCGGCTACCTCCCCCGAGAATAATACAAGTCTGGCTACCTTCCCCCCCGTAAAAAAACAAGTCCTGTCTACCTCCCCCGTAGTATAAACAAACCCGACTCCCCCCCCGTAGATAATACAAGTCCTGACTACCTCCCCATAGTAAATGCAAGTCCTGGCTACCTCCCCAACAGCATAATACAAGTCCTGAATACCCCCCCCCATTTTTGTTAATACAAGCCTGGCTACCTCCCCAGTAGTATAATACAAATCCTGAATACCTCCCGAGTAAAAATACAAATCCTGACTACCTCACCAGTGTAAAACAATCCTGGTACTTCCCCACATTAAAATACAAACCCTGACTACGTCCCCAGCATATAATACACCCTGATACCTCCCGGGAGTATAAACAAGTCCCGGCTCCTTCCCCCGTAGTAAAAAAACAAGTCCTTACTACCTCCCCAGTAGTTAAACAAGCCTGGCTACCTCCCCAGTTATTTAATACAAGTCCCGGGTACCCCCAAGCAGTATAAACAAGTCCGGCTACCTCCCCCCAGTAAAATTTCAAATCCGACTACCTCCCCAATAGTAAATACAATTATGGCTACCTTCCCAGTAGTAAAATACAAGTCCTGAATACCTCCCCCAGTAAAAAAAGTCCCGACTACCTCCCCCTAGTATAATCAAGTTTGCTCCCTCCCCCTAGTATAATACACGTCCCCGGCTACTACCCCGTAGTAAAACAAGTCCTGCACCTCCCCAGTTTATAATAAAGTCCCGGCTACCTCCCCAAACATATAATAAATCCGGTTTTCCTCCCCAATAGATAATACAAGTCCCTACCTTCCCCGTGTATAAACAAGTCCTGACTACCTCCCAGTAGTTAATACAAATTCTGGCTGCCTCCCGTAGTTAAAAAATCCGAATACCTCCCCGCAGTATAATACAAGTCCGACTACCTCCCCATTTTTATAATACAAATTTTGGCTCCCTCCCAGTATATAAACACTCCTGGCTACCTCCCCACAGTAAAATACAACCTGCCCTACCTCCCCCAGCAGTATAATACAAGCCCTTTGGGATACCTCCCCAGTAGTATAATACAAATTCTGGCTGCCCCCCCATTTAATTTAAATCCCAAGTCCTGAATCCCCTCCCCCCCAGTATAATAAAAGGGGCCCCTGACTACCTCCCCAGTAGTTAATAAAAATTTATGGCTCCCCCCCCCAGTATTTTAAAATTACCCGCCCTGGCTACCTCCCCACCCAGTAAATACAGCCCTGGCTACCCCCCCCAAGCAGTAAAAATACAAGTCCTGACTACCCCCCAAGCATTTTAAAACAAGTCTTTAAACCTACCCCCCAGTTGTATAATAAAAGTCCCCCCTCCCTCCACACCCAGTATAATACACGCCCCTTAAATTCCCCCCCACTTAGTGTAATACAAGCCCCCCCCTACCCCCCCGCAGTAAAAATAAAATTCCTGATTTACCTCCCCAGGCATTAATGCAAGCCCTTCCTAACCCTCCCCAGAAAGTAAAATTTAAAAAAGCCCCCTGGCTACCCCCCCAGTAGTAAAAATACAAGTCCTGACTACCTCCCCCCAGTATTTAAAACCCCCGCCCTGACTACCTCCCCGAAAGAATAATACAATTTCCGGGAAACCCTCCCATATAAAATTTACAATCCTTGCTACCCCCCCCCAGTTTATAATAAACCCCGGGTTTCCCTCCCCAGTAGTATAATACAAGCCCCGGGACTACCTTCCCCCCAGTTATATAAAAACAATTTCCTGGCTACCCCCCCCAGCAGTATAATAAAGGGTCCTGACTCCCTTTCCCCAGTATTATAATAAAATCCCCTGACAAACCTCCCCAGTGGTAAAATACAAGTCCGGGTACCCCCCCACGGGTATAATACAAGTCCTCACTACCCCCCCCCCAGAAGTATTATACAAGCCTTGACTACCTCCCCATAGTTTTAATACAAGTCCGGGCTCCCTCCCGTAGAAAAAATACAAGTCCTGGCTACCCCCCCAGCCTTAAATACAAAGCCCTCTATCCCCCAGTAGTTTTTTTACAAGTCCGGGGCTCCCTCCCAGTAGTATAATACAAGTCCTGACTCCCCTTCCCCATATATAAGGGAAAAGTCCTGGCTACCCCCCCAAACAGCATAAAAACAAGTCCTAAAATACCTCCCCCAGTAGTAAATACAATCCGGGCTACCCCCCCATTATTTATAATACAAGTCCGGAATTCCCCCCCCAGCAGTATAATACAACCCCTGACTACCTCCCCATAGAAATTAATGCAAGTCCGGGGCTATTTTCCCCAAACATTAAAATTTTTAAAAATCCTGACGGGAGACGTCCCCAAAAATAATTCATTCCTGACTACCTCCCCAGGTATAATCCCAAGTCCTGGCTCCCTTTCCCCAGCGTAAATTTAAAAAAACCCCTGAAAAACCCCCCCCCAGTAGTAAAAAACAATCCTGGCTCCCTCCCCGGGAGTAAACAAAAGTGCTGACTCCCTTTTTCCCGGGTAGAAATAATACAAGTCCTGATACCTCCCCAGCATAAAATTTTTGCAAATCCTGGCTACCCCCCCACAGTTTTATCAAGCCCTTGATACCTCCCCATGTAAATAAAAGTCCTGACTACCTTTCCAGTGTAAAATTAAAGCCCCCTGATACCTCCCCCAGTATATAATATAATTTCCCGCCTACCCCCCAGTATTTTAAATACAAGTCTTAAACCCCCCTCCTCAGTAGTTTTTAATACAAGCCCTAAACCATCCAGTAGAAAATCCCAAGGGTCAAGGCTAACCCCCCCAGTTGAAATTAAACCCCACGTTCGGGGACAAATCAAACCAGCGTATAATGTAAGCCTTAAATTTACCTTCCAACAGTAAAATACACGCCCTGCCCTACCCCTTCTAAAAAAAGTATAAAAACCAAGTCCTGGGCCCACCCCCAGCAGTATAATGCAAGTTCTAAACCTCCCCCCAGAAATTTGAAATTTACACGCCCCGATTTACCTCCGCAGAAAAATACAAGTCCGGGACCTCCCCCGCAGTATAATGCAAATTCTAAACTCCCCCCCGCAGTAAAAATACAATCCTGGCTGCCCCCCAAATGGGTAAAATCCCAAGTCCGGGATCCTCCCCCAGTAGTATTTTACAACCCTAAACCCCCCAGCACAAATAACACAATCCTGACAAACCCCCACCATAGTTATAATAAAAGGGCCCTGGTACTTCCCCCCCTTTTTTAAATACAAATTTCCTGACTTCCTCCCTAGCAGAAAAATACACGTCCTGACTACCTCCCCAGTAGAAATAATACAAGCCCCTTGCTCCCTTCCCGGGGCATTTATAAAAAAACAAATCCTGATCCCCCCCCCGTAGTAATAAATACAATTCCTGGCTCCCTCCCCACCCAGTAAAATTTCCAAGTTTTTGACTCCTCCCCCAGCAGTTTTTAAAAATTTCCCGGGCCCTCCCTTTTCCCCTTCAGTAAAATGCAAGTCCTGACTACCCCCCCAGAAAGTTTAATAATAAAAGTCCTGGACTTCCTCCCCTTTTAAGATATAATGCAAAGCCCTTTGACTACCTCCCCAGTAGTATAATAAAAACCCTAACTACCCCCCCAGTATAAATACAAGTTCGGGACTCCCCCCCCCAGTAGTATAATCCCAAAGTCCTGACTACCCCCCCCAGTAGAAATTTTTCCAAGTCCTGGTTTTCCTCCCCCAGTAAAATAAAAACAAGCCCTGACTACCCCCCCTTACTATAAATTAACAAGTCCTGACTACCTCCCCCTTTACTCTAAATAAAAGGTCCGGGGACTCCCTTCCCCAAGAAATAATAAAAGTTCTGACTACCTATTTAGCAAAATTAAATATAGATAAATTTTTCCCAAACCGACATATGAAACAGTTGGGTATTTTTATTAAAGGAAACGTTTCCTAAATTTAAAGTTTAACTTTAAGGTTGCACGTGTGCCCCTAATTTATCAATTTTGTTCGGTTTATTTTAAACCCAAATTTCTTTTACATTCCTGTCAACAAAAAACCCAAAAATCTTGGGTTTTAAATAAAAGGAAAAATTCCTCACTTCCCCTAACCCTTTGGGGCACAAACCTTTCTTCCACTTTGGTCAAAATTTTGCCCCCACCTACGCCCTGCCCAAACCTCTTTTTGGCCCCCGGTATAAAAGCTATTCTTTTTTCGCCCACATTTGCTTTTTTCTTTTTCAAGATTGATGGTTTTTGCCCTCAGGGCCCAAAAAGGTTTTGGGGGGGCGGATTACCTCGAACTCACCCTGTTTTTAAAACCTTTTCTTCTTTTTTAGGACTGTGAAGCCACTGGGGTGGCAAAACTTTTCCCCCTTTTAAAGATGTCTAAGTGTTGAAACATGTGCCTAATTTACCCCAGGAGTATAATAAAAAATCCATACTCCCTTCCCGTAGTAATAATACAAGCCATATTACCCCCCCAAATTTATAATACAAGTAAAGGGGCTACCTCCCCAGTTGTTTTAATCCCCTTTCGGGACAAACCCCCTTCCCCAACCCAGTAAAACCCAACCCTTTGGGCCCTACCTTTCCCCCCCAGTTTAAAAATTACACCCCTTGACTACCCCCCCCCCCACAGTAAATCAAGCCCCCTAAACCTCCCCCCAGAAAGAAATTAATGCAATTTTCTACTCCCCCCAAAGAAATTAAAAAATTTCAAGTCCGGGATACCCCCAGCAGTATTTAACCTTCCCGTTTTCCCCCTTTCCCAGCCAGTACAAAAAGGGCCCCCGCCCTCCGCAAAGCAGTAAAAATAAAAATTTCCTGACAAACCCCCGCAGTAAAATTGCAAATTTTGGGCCCTAACCCCTAAGCGAAAATGCAAGTCCTGGCTCCCCCAGCAGTGTAATACAAGTCCTGACTTCCCCCCAGCAGTATAATGCAAGTCCTGGCTGCCCCCAGCAGTATAATACAAGTCCTGACTACCCCCCAGCATTATAATACAAGATCTGACTGCTCCCCAGCAGTGTTAATACAAGTCCCGACTACCCCCCATCAGTAAAACACAAGTCCTGACCTCCCCAGCAGTATAATGCAAATCCTGACTACCCCCAGCAGTATAATGCAAATCCTGACTACCCCCAGCAGTATAATGCAAGTCCTGGCTACCCCCAGCAGTATAATGCAAGTCCTGGCTACCCCCAGCAGTGTAATACAAGTCCTGACTTCCCCCCAGCAGTATAATGCAAGTCCTGGCTGCCCCCAGCAGTATAATACAAGTCCTGACTACCCCCCAGCAGTATAATACAAGTTCTGACTACTCCCCAGCAGTGTTAATACAAGTCCCGACTACCCTCCAGCAGTAAAATACAAGTCCTGACCCTCCCCCAGCAGTATAATACAAATCCTGACTTCTCCCAGCAGTATAATGCAAATCCTGGCTACCCCCAGCAGTATAATACAAGTCCTGCTTACCCCAGTAGTATAATACATATCCTGACTTACCCCCAGCAGTATAATGCAAGTCCTGGCTACCCCCAGCAGTATAATACAAGTCCTGACTACCCCCCAGCAGTATAATACAAGTTCTGACTACTCCCCAGCAGTGTTAATACAAGTCATGACTACCCACCAGCAGTATAATACAAGTCCTGACTACTCCCCAGCAGTATAATACAAGTCCTGACTACCCCCCCAGCAGTATAAACTCAGCCTTCGAGGAGCTCAGGACTCACGTACCGACCTTTCCCTACGAGAAGCGACTCAGTAAGATCGACACTCTCCGCCTGGCTATCGCCTACATCGCGCTCCTGAGAGAGCTGCTCACCTCTGAGCTCGACCCCGTCACCCACATCGAGAAGGGTCTTCGTGGGGAGCTCTCCTCTGACCAGTGCCACTTGTGGAACACCAGCGGTCAGTGCCATCAGTGACTGGTAGTTTTGGCTGGTGTAGTGCTAGTTAAGCTCTGTTTGTTGATCCAGTGACTGGTAGTTTGACTGGTGTTGTGTTAGTTAAATATTTTGTTGGACCAATGGCTTGTAGTTTGACTTTTTAGTGGTAGTTAAAGTTTTTGTTGGACTAGTGGCTAGCAATCTGACCGGGGTATTTCTACAGGGTAGTTAAATAATTTTTGCCACACCTGTTTGACTGTAGTAGCACTTCTTACTTTAGAAGTGCTCGTTAAATGACGTGTGTGTGCTTTCAGTAAATTGTACGTAGTTGTTAACAGTCGTGGGGATGTTTATTTGGGTTCATGACAGTATGTGGCTAACTTGAATCACTCTGTGGGGTGTATAATGTAGTCTTCCACATTGCACGTTTCTTACATCTTGCTGTGGAATGGCTAATATGGGTTATGTCTTGCTTGGATCCTGCTGTAGAAAGGTTAGTGTTCCTTACGACACTATGCATACTAGAAATTGTATCTGAAAAATGTATACAAGTAAGATACACACTCCCCAGACCAGTAAACTAAAACGCTTTATCTCCTCAGTAGATTTGACTGCTCGGCTCTCGTGGATCAATTGGGAAAACCTGGGAGTAAGTCCCAGTAGACGCTCCATCTTCTCCTCCATCTCGCTGACGTCAGACTCCATCAACAACTGATCCCAATGAGGGAGAAGACAGAAGCTGGAAGAAAGACGTCACACAGGAGAGAAACACATCAGTTGGGAGTGTACTAGAGAAACACCCATCACTAGTTACATAAGTTAAAAATACCTTAGTGACGCAATACAAGAGACATCTGTTATTGGAACTGTTATTGGCGTTATGCAGGTGAAACATGCCAGTTTGATACGTAATACAAAAGAAAGATGACAGTTTGAGGAGAAACACGCTTATTCGTAACATCATGCAGGAGTGTCACTTATGTCAATAATTAAAATACAGTACCAACTCAGGGAGAAGTTTAGACGCGGTGAAGGAGACAACACCCGTCTACGACACAACATGTAGTTAAGCAACACCTGCTAGTGGCATCTCACATAAAAAATAATGTTAAATAAAACATATGCGAGGAGTCACGAGTGTAGAGAGACAGATACACAACACACTCTTCCCGTAAGATAAATTCTCTGTGTTGACTACAGGGAAACACAGCACTCACGCTTGTGTACTAAACTCTCATTTACCGTTGCAGAAAAGTTTCCCGAGATTGTCTTTGTTAATAATGAATTTTTTTTCTGAGAAAAGCAGGGTGGATTTATATCAAATTCATAAAGCAGAGATGAGTCATTTTCATAATTCATAATGTGGTATTATATCTCACTGTCTCACTAACACAACGTAACGTGGAGACGTGGCAGGAAAGTCTCGAGATTATATATATATATATGTCGTGCCGAATAGGTAAAACTTGCTTAAATAGCAATTCTCTTGCCGAATAAGGCAAACGAAAAATTTGTGTATGCAATAATTTCGCAAAAATCACTTTGAACCTAACGAAAAAAATATATTTCATTGTGTTTGTTAATTATTAAATTACTGTAAACTTATCTAAAATATATTTAGTTGGATTAGGCTAAATTAAATTGCGCTTGTTATAATAAGGTTAGGTAAGTTTTCTAAGGTTCTTTTAGTATAAAAATTATTAATTTTTACATTAGCATAAATGAAAAATATATATATAAATCTTTAAACGTATAACAAAATTTTAGAAAGGACTAAATTTTAAATGAGTTCTTGATAATTGACTAGTTTTACCTATTCGGCACAACATATATATGTGGAAATAGGGAAAGAAAGATAAAAAATTCCATGGAAGGCAAAGATGTATATGGAGTAAGAACATCATGACTGGTACTTCAACCATCATTATCTAAATATTTCCGTATAACTCTATCATCAGGTGTCCCACCAAAAAAAAAAAAATATTTATAAATATTTCCTTAGTAACTCTATCATCAGGTGTTCCACAAAAAAATAAACATTTATAAACACAGATCCTAAGATCACGAAATCTTAATTAATGCATACTGAAAGTTAAGTTACAACGTTAACAACAAAATATCTCATAACTGTTCATTGTTACACAGAGCAACTTTGCAATATACAGACCTATTATTCAGCGTCTCTGTTAGTTTAAAATATTATTCATGTCGGACTTCAGTCTTTTTATAGTTAACAAATGTATGTGGTGGTTGTAAAACTGTGTATAGTGTAAAACAAGTTATTAGATGAACCACAATACAGTGTCATATGTCAACACACTGTGAAGCCTCAAGGCTCACAGTAGACGTGAACTCCCTCACTGTGTCGATCTTAGACGGAGGAGCTGGATAAAGTGGAGTGTCTGAACAGTGTTAGAGACAAACTTTCCTTGTGTAACATTGAACAGTGTTAGAGACAAGCCTTCCTTGTGTAACATTGAACAGTGTTAGAGACAAACCTTCCCTGTGTGGCATTGAACAGTGTTAGAGACAAACCTTCCCTGTGTGGCATTGAACAGTGTTTAGAGACAAAACCTTCCTTGTGTAACTTTGAAACTGTGTTAGAGACAAACCTTCCCTGTGTGGCATTGAACAGTGTTAGAGACAAACCTTCCCTGTGTGGCATTGAACAGTGTTAGAGACAAACCTTCCTTGTGTAACTTTGAACTGTGTTAGAGACAAACCTTCCCTGTGTGGCATTGAACAGTGTTAGAGACAAACCTTCCCTGTGTGGCATTGAACAGTGTTAGAGACAAACCTTCCTTGTGTAACTTTGAACTGTGTTAGAGACAAACCTTCCCTGTGTGACATTGAACAGTTTTAGAGACAAACCTTCGTTGTGTAACATTGAACAGTGATAAAGACAAACCTTCCTTGTGTAACATTGAACAGTGTTAGAGACAAGCCTTCCTTGTGTGATATTGAACAGTGTTAGAGACAAACCTTCGTTGTGTGACACTGAACAGTGTTAGAGACAAGCCTTCCTTGTGTGACATTGAACAGTGTTAGAGACAAACCTTCGTTGTGTGACATTGAACAGTGTTAGAGACAAACCTTCGTTGTGTAACATTGAACAGTGTTAGAGACAAGCCTTCCTTGTGTGACATTGAACAGTGTTAGAGACAAGCCTTCCTTGTGTGACATTGAACAGTGTTAGAGACAAGCCTTCCTTGTGTGACATTGAACAGTGTTAGAGACAAACCTTCGTTGTGTGACATTGAACAGTGTTAGAGACAAACCTTCGTTGTGTAACATTGAACAGTGTTAGAAACAAACCTTCCCTGTGTGACGTTGAACAATGTTAGAAACAAACCTTCCTTGTGTAACATTGAAGTGTTAGAGACAAACCTTCCCTGTGTGACATTGAACAGTGTTAGAGACAAGCCTTCCTTGTGTGACATTGAACAGTGTTAGAGACAAACCTTCGTTGTGTGACATTGAACAGTGTTAGAGACAAACCTTCGTTGTGTGACATTGAACAGTGTTAGAGACAAACCTTCCTTGTGTAACATTGAACAGTGTTAGAGACAAACCTTCGTTGTGTAACATTGAACAGTGTTAGAGACAAACCTTCCTTGTGTAACATTGAACAGTGTTAGAGACAAACCTTCCTTGTGTAACATTGAACAGTGTTAGAGACAAACCTTCGTTGTGTAACATTGAACAGTGTTAGAGACAAACCTTCCCTGTGTGACATTGAACAGTGTTAGAGACAAACCTTCGTTGTGTGACATTGAACAGTGTTAGAGACAAACCTTCGTTGTGTAACATTGAACAGTGTTAGAGACAAACCTTCCTTGTGTGACACTGAGCAGTGTTAGAGACAAACCTTCGTTGTGTAACATTGAACAGTGTTAGAAACAAACCTTCCCTGTGTGACGTTGAACAATGTTAGAAACAAACCTTCCTTGTGTAACATTGAAGTGTTAGAGACAAACCTTCCCTGTGTGACATTGAACAGTGTTAGAGACAAGCCTTCCTTGTGTGACATTGAACAGTGTTAGAGACAAACCTGCGTTGTGTGACATTGAACAGTGTTAGAGACAAGCCTTCCTTGTGTGACATTGAACAGTGTTAGAGACAAACCTTCGTTGTGTGACATTGAACAGTGTTAGAGACAAACCTTCGTTGTGTGACATTGAACAGTGTTAGAGACAAACCTTCGTTGTGTAACATTGAACAGTGTTAGAGACAAACCTTCCTTGTGTGACACTGAACAGTGTTGGAGACAAACCTTCCCTATTTGACGTTGAACAGTGAGTAGACTTATTTTTTTTTACTTTATACCTATCTCTTAATGTACATAAATGTGATCCATCTCTAGTGCAACTATGGAGACTCATAGCCTCTGAGAAATAGAATAAATGGCTTCGAATATTTTACTTCTGACACACTGTCTTTTATAAATGCACACATATTTGTGCTTCATGTAATATTATACACGAAGTTTAAGATTCACTGATGGTACAAAGATGTTAGATTATACAACAGGAAAGATTAAAAAGATATGTTTGTCAGTCAGTACATATAAAATATCTCATTCAGCTGCTAAGAGGTGGGATGCGCACCCAAGATACAAAGGGCATTACCCGTCTCTGAGACGCTGGAACAGGAAATTAGCTGCAAGGAAACAAACAATCATACTTTATAGAAGGGTATAGCAAGACATGAATTTTCTCCTTAACATATATTTGCATTGAATAATTATCAAAGTTCGGGCGAAAATTCCATCACCTTCCTCCAGGATTATTTCTGTAAGCATTTTCGACAACTTCAAATTTGAAACAAATAATAGAAATTAATTTTAAATCACCAAAAAGTTGAAAACAAACTAAACCAAATAGAAACCATGAAAAGTAGAAAAAAGCATGTTTACGTAAACAAGACACGATTACAGACCAATAACAAATAACAAAAATAACGAAGTTCAGGGGAAACCGCAGTAGTTTCAGGACAGACAAGTTACCTGCAGATTCATTTGTATAAATATTTCATCAAGGAATCATTCCCAGTTAACAGAAAATAGCTCTACTTATTAATCTCAATGCCAAAGATTAATTCTAGTCAAGTTGGTTAGTTTTTTGGGTATAAATGCCGTCTACAACACGAGGGTCATTGTATGTAACCTACTCACCACCATTAAAGAATTCTTTAACATTTAAAACAGAGATTAAATTAAACTCTCAGCATATATAAATCGATATACATATCTCTCGGTGTATATAATTTTGTTGTTCTAGTCAAATAATTATAGGTGTAAATTAAGTATAATTCTTACATGTGATACTTAGAATTTATTTATGTAATGTATAGTTGTAAAGATTTATTTCTTATTGTTGTGTGTAATAAATAATATAAAATGTGTTTTTTTTTCTGATATCCGCATTCAAATACAGTTATATTTGCATATATATGTTGGCAGCAACCAGTCTCTTCTACATTGCTGCCTAAATCCTACCTCACCTTCATTGCTATGGCGTTGTCAAAATATTTTCCTTCAAGAAGGGGTGCAAGACTACTGATTTAAGGAACTAGAGCTACACTCCATTTCCTTGGATCAAGGCTAATTATCTAACATTCCCTAGGTACTGTATGACTCCTACGGATTCAGCGCTTTCCCTTGAATATTTAAATGTCAAAATATTTAATATTATATAGATGATTTGCACCATTTGTGCTAACCATTAAGGCAGCGAGAGGTTGGTTACTTCTTTTGCTTGTACAGTTTTTATTACACTGCTGCACCAACACTGATCACATCCCATGATGATGCTGTCTCTCCCATATATGTATCTTATCAAAAAGGGTGACCACCTGACTTGCTTATATTTCAAATCAGGTCAAAGGTGACTTAAACATCAGCATCAGATAACAAAAAAAAGTCACAAAACCGCGACTGGAATGATAGACAAATAACCCGAAAATAGAAGAGAGGACCGAAACATCGTCGTAAACTTCTCTCTTCTATGTGCGGGTTATCTGTGTATCAGCATCAGAATACTTAAATCTGAGAAGCCTACAAAAAAGTTAGTGATTGAGTTTACAGTACATTTGGTTATTGGTATAATTCAATTATGATACAAATACAGTTCGATACATTTGTATGCAAAACGTTTCTGGAAAAGTAATCCTAAATCTTGCATATTACTTAACTCTAGTCCTGGCATGTATTTTTTGGCAATGTGTTGGAGTACTCTGGGTAATTCATTTCAATTATAAGACGATTGTGATTCAAAGAAATGTGATAAGAGAAGGTTAACTATTTAAAAATAATCTTTGAATAACATTAAGTACAATAGGAAAGGTTGTAAATGATGTACTTGACAATTATACAAATAATGTACACAAATATCAGGTTAGTGAGGTACTCTTTATGGAGAGGTAGAATTAGTGATGCCAGTACGTTCAGTCAGTTAGCTGATACAACATTTAAGTTTAATTTAATAAAAGTTTTTAACAATATTTTTAAAGCTGGTAGTAGAGAGGGAACTTTTAGCATATGCGGAGAGAGAGGATTCCATACTTTTAGGCCTTTTATATTTAGAGTTTCTAAAGTTCAGTCGTTATATTTAGAGTTTCTAGAGTTTAGTCGTTATATTTAGAGTTTCTAAAGTTCAGTCGTTATATTTAGAGTTTCTAAAGATCAGTCGTACACATCGTATATCCCAGAGATATTTGTTCCTTGTATTGTTTCTGTGTGTTGTGTTACAGCTCTCTGGGCTAGTGCTTGTACCTAGTGTTGCAGCTCTCTGAGCTAGTGCTTGTACCTAGTGTTGCAGCTCTCTGAGCTAGTGCTTGTACCTAGTGTTGCAGCTCTCTGGGCTAGTGCTTGTACCTAGTGTTGCAGCTCTCTGGGCTAGTGCTTGTACCTAGTGTTGCAGCTCTCTGGGCTAGTGCTTGTACCTAGTGTTGCAGCTCTCTAGGCTAGTGCTTGTACCTAGTGTTGCAGCTCTCTGAGCTAGTGCTTGTACCTAGTGTTGCAGCTCTCTGGGCTAGTGCTTGTACCTAGTGTTGCAGCTCTCTGGGCTAGTGCTTGTACCTAGTGTTGCAGCTCTCTAGGCTAGTGCTTGTACCTAGTGTTGCAGCTCTCTGGGCTAGTGCTTGTACCTAGTGTTGCAGCTCTCTGGGCTAGTGCTTGTACCTAGTGTTGCAGCTCTCTGGGCTAGTGCTTGTACCTAGTGTTGCAGCTCTCTGGGCTAGTGCTTGTACCTAGTGTTGCAGCTCTCTGAGCTAGTGCTTGTACCTAGTGTTGCAGCTCTCTGGGCTAGTGCTTGTACCTAGTGTTGCAGCTCTCTGGGCTAGTGCTTGTACCTAGTGTTGCAGCTCTCTGAGCTAGTGCTTGTACCTAGTGTTGCAGCTCTCTGGGCTAGTGCTTGTACCTAATGTTGCAACTCTCTGGGCTAGTGCTTGTACCTAGTGTCCTGTATACATACTGTGCACAGTAGTGTCAATATTGTGGATGTTAAGCAGATTTAAGCTTTTAAATAGGAGGCTGCGTGTTGCCTGATTACTGAGTG